GGGGGGGGGGGGGGGGGGGGGGGGGGGGGGGAGGGAAGGGGAGATACTGATTTAAAACAGGGGCTGGAAACACTAATGCCACTAGAGGGAGCCTCTGACCCACAAAATTTGAGAATTTCTTAAAAAATTAAAAATGGTCAGAAGCACATGAGATTTTGAAAGACACTATGTCCTCAAATGATATCTCATGCATTTCTGACCATTTTAACTTACAGCTGTTAAACAAAGTGAAAAGAAACTTAATGGGATGAAGCCAAACCAATACACTTGAAGAAAGCATTTTAGATGTTGCCAGATTACAGTGCTCTGGCTCAGGAATACTCTAAAACAATCCACAAAATGGTTAGTGAACCCACATTTTTTATTTGTTTGGAGATTTGGACAAATGATGGTGAAAGGACTGTTCGATATTTAGAGGCCCAATGACCCCAACACTTGTTTTCTAAAGCCAGATTAGAAAAAAAAAAAAAAAAAAAGAAACCAATGCAATGTGAGAGCCATTTTTAACAAAGATGCACTCTCATTTTTACCCCAGCTAAACCTGATACAATTTAACGACTGAACAACAACAACAAAAAATAAAGAACAAAAGGAATATAAACAACATATGAAAAACTGACACAGGAGAGTCTGCCCTTTTGAACAATATAGAGAGAAAGCTATGAATTGAAATGAAAAACCAACTGCAACAGGGATCCTCAACTTTTTTGAGCAGGAGGCACATTCAGAATTCTGAGGGCATAGTATGGCATTCTCACAAAATGACTGCCATGACAGGCCCAACCAGTCACAAAACACCAGAAAGCAAACTGGTGAGATTGCTCTCAACCACCCCTTCCAAGTACCTTCTTCCATCTTAACAAATTGTTTTATTTATTTCTGGGTATGGAGGCCCATCTTAAGCACTGCTGAAATCTGCTTTACGATTTCTCAAAAGTTTTCTTGCCTGATAATAGAGACCTGGGCTTTCTGCCTTATTCTCAGGGCACTTGCTTTTAGAATTCTCTTGGTAGTGTTTCTGAGCTCATACAATTGTTGAGAGAGGCAGCAAATGCTATTGCTGTTGTTGTCAGTTATTAATCTTTCCACCACACTGATGCCGCCCTCGGCTGCCTGCATTTCCTCATCTGAAAAGCCCTTCTCTCAGGATTTACAGGAAGCAGAGCAAGCCAGGAAGATACAGGAGAGAACATTCTCTCCCAAACACACCGTTGGCCACCTTTTAGCTAATCCATGTCCAAATACCACCTTCCACCCATACAATTTCATCCAAAGTATTTTCTACTCTGAATTTTGAAAGCAAATTCTTTTTCATCAAATGGAATGAAAGCTGATAGAAAAAAATGAAAGAAAAATTTTCTACATTGAACTATTCCAAATAAAGCACAGAGCACAGCATTAATTACCAAATAATGAGTTTATGTAGAGCCTAGAGACATTCTTGTAAATAAAGATTACACTTCAAGCTGATGCTTTGCTTTGTACATACTAGCTTCCCTTTTTAATAATTAAAAGAATCAAAAAAATAAGGTGGGACAAGGATTCTGGTAAAGGATGCTAAGCACCTTATTGCTCATGAGTATCGCACTGGGACCCAAAATCTGGAGAGACAGCAGTGTGTCTATTTGGAACATAATGTAGCAAAGTGGAATTGTTAAATATTACAGAATACTATAGGACTGCCTTAATCTACAGTGGTTTCTTTCCCCAAATACAAACGTGTCAGAGTTGGTGTGAAGGCCTGAAGACAGCAAAATAGAACCAGCATTGAGAAAGTTGTGTAAACTCTGAGAAGGTACATTCCAATCTCAAGACTAGTAAAAGCCTTAGAAGGGCAAGAGGAAAAGACTTAAGATTCAAGCCCTGGGCTGGCTGACTGGCTGGCTGGACGCACACACAAACAGAGTGCTTGATCTCTGTATTCTTCAGGCAGATCATCTGCATACTTTTTTAGTTTATTAAACATATTTCTATGCTGCCACAATTAAAACAACTTTTGGCAGTTGACACAGAAAAAACACAATAGAAAGCATGCCCCATTAAAACACAGCACTACAACATTACAAGAGAATACAAAGGCAACATCAAATCAAATCAGAGGAAGACTGATTTGATTTCTAAATAAATCTTATTTATAAGATTTTTATGTCTTCTTTCCCATTTACAAAAAAAGCAACTCATTTAACAGTTATCCAGTTATTGAAGTCTCTGCAGTTAGCTAGTTCCTGAATGTGGGCCTGAATTTCTGGAAGCAGAGAGATTTATAGCTTGCCTGATGTGAAGTCTCGTAGTTCAGAATGGGGAACCATGCAATTAATAGTGTTAACCCCTAATATGTTCTGACCTTAGTTACAGGTTTATATTTGCACATGACTGAATAGGATTTCACCATTTCTGCAGCGTAGGCTGCTTAATAATTCTCTGTTACATGAAGTTTCTTATCAAGCACCATACAGCTAGGCAAGACCAAGGAAACAAGAACTATAGAGTTTTCAGTAAGTTATCTTTAATGCTTTAATAAAGAATCTTGGAAACTCTAATAGAAATTTCTCAACCTCATTTATAATGAGTTAAGACAGAGTCCCTGAATAAGTTAAAATGCTTCTTCCCAGATTTCTCCCACTTGATCTGAATTTCCCTTTTATCTCTTCCATTCCTTTCCTAGCTTTCCCAGTGTCTCTCAAACTTCTACTTTTTAAACCCACGTAGCAGGGGTTCTTAACCAGGTAGATTAAGATCAATAGATTTCCATGAACTTTTAATGAAAAAAAAAATTACAATTTTATTTTCACTAACCTCTGACATTTAGTTTTGGAGTATTCTGGTGTTCCTTGAGAAAGACTTATCTTTGCTTTGTAAAGCGAGCTATGGACGCTTTAATTCCATTTCCAACATATATATGAGCGTTATTGGTTTGTATGGATTTTATTTTATGCATTTAAATACATATTCTGAAAAGACAGATGTCTATAGGTTTCACCAGACCCTCAAAGGTCCATGGCACAAAAAAGTTAAGGTCAAGC